ACTCCGATTTGATGTTATACTTATGTATGTATTTGATATATCAATGATAATTTAACATCATCGAACTGATGAAACAATTTACAGATTTCTCGTACGCGTTGCAGATAATCGAAACACGAGAAATGTTCAAAAGTAATTTCTCGACAGCTCCATGTGCCATGGCTTTGTTGAAACGCGCGTTTATCACAGTTTTAGTCTAAAAAAAAAAAAGAAAAAGGGTAATGTGTTACTTCCGCTAGTGTCGCGGAACATTTCACGCATTTAGAAACGTGGGAAGAACCGCGTTTTCAATGGGTTCGTAAAGGACAAAAAAAAAAAAAGAAAGAAAAAAGGAAGAACAAGATGGCGTGTGCAAAACAATTAAATGCAAGGATTGATATGATTCGATATCATTTTCTCTCTTTCCATCTGTTTTAATTTCTCGTCTTGAAAACTGGTTCTTGCTGGTCAGTCGTCGAAGTTAATTATTTATCGTCGTATCTGAGAGAAGAAGGTATTTATGTACGCACGATTGCCTTTGCGTTTGCCTTTGTGTTATTGCCTCGTCTTATAATCAGAAATCAAATACGTTTAATTGATCGAACGCGAATGCAAATAGAAATATTCGCATCGACGAGAAGTTTATTGGTTGCAAATACACGGGCAATCGTGTAGACCGAAGAGAGTACCGTTAACTGTCTGATTATTGTATACAAAAAAAAAATGATAAATAAAATATGTATATATATAACACGATATAGAGACGATATTTTTAATTGTACAGAGAGAGAGTATATAGGGCATAAACCTATTCAACAAATATATTTATTGCAACATCTAAAATTTTATTAGGCTTACTTCATCCAATTCTTGATGTGATTTATATTTGCATAATATGGTGATTCATGCTCGGCCGTATAAATATTACACGATCGTTAGCATGATCATAATTCATTTTAATTAATAATCTTCAATAACTTCAATAATTCAATATTAAACTATTTGTCAAACAATTATCATAACTGAAGAAACAGAAACTTCTTGTTATTTGCAATATTAAAGCTTCGCTTTCTTTTATTGTATCCTTATACATAGCTCGAGTATATTAATAATCTATATATATATATTTATATATATATTTATTTATTTATTTATATATTTATATATTTATATTTATGTTCATATTTATATATATATTTATATATATAATAGTATGTATATTTCCTCCTCTCACATGTAGGCGTGCAACTCTCTGATAACTGTCTTTCACTTTGTACGTGTATCATTCTCCGAGTTTCACAACAGTCTGTTGTGAAATCGCGTGTGTAATCGAGTGTAATCCGCGGTAATGTGCGTATCTTCTATATGCGTGTCTATTTATATGTATGTACGTATATACAGTAGTCGATCGTTCTTAAATATTTCAATATAACATTGTCAACCAATAATTTATTTCGCTTAAGCTACACATTACAGGGAATGCGCCTACTTCTCTCCCTGTGTTTTCTCTCTCTCTCTTTCTCTTAAACATCATGCACAAATTCGCAAAAAATCACATCTTCGTTTTGTAACGTTCTCCTCGCCCGTTCACACACCATCTTTTACTCTGTTTCTCTCTCTCTCTCTCTCTCTCTCTCACACACGCACACGTGTTCATCGTCTCTCCCCTTCAGCCTTTCACCTCTTCGCTCTGTTATCTCTCTTTTTTTTTTTTTTTTTTTTAATTAGTTAACACGAAGTCTCACTCGTTAAAACAGCTCTCGAAGACTAAGGACACCCAAAGCGGATCACAGTCTGTCTCTGCGCTCGTAGAATCTTATGGCCAAACTGCCGGAAAGGAAATTCGAATAAAATACAGGGTGGCACGTTAACTTCTCGTTTTCGCCGCTACGATTTCTCGACCATTTTCAATTCACGATGATTTATGTGCCTTAACACTGCCAAGCGGGGTCAAATGGCCCCTTTTCAAAATTTACTTTAAAATCGTACATTTGTTGTTATCTCTTTCGTTAATCTGACCTTTTGTAAATTCTTATATTATCTGATTAGTCAATTTCTCGTTTTTCTGTTTTTCTCTTAGCTTATTTCTTACCGAGAAAAATTCTTATGTACCGCGAGGGGTCATTTGACCCCTTATGGTAAGATAGGTATATGTAAAATGCCGGTACGTTTAGTGTTAATATACGCGTTACGTTACATAACACCTTCGCACGTTGCTTTATAATAGACGTTCAAGATTAAAAATGTAACAAAATTGCCAATTCTTAGTGTACTTTTACCCTCTCTTCAAACAGTCAATTAGTTAAAGTTGCAGCCTTTAAAAGCAATCAAACAACTATAATGAAATCACCACGTTGTATATAAATAAATCTGTGCAATTATTAAAAATATCTCGCGTGTGTCGTGCAACGCGTAAGTAAGGACAATGGTCCGAATAAACTCAGGATATTTTCTTCTTCTTTTTTTGTTTTCAAGAACTCCAGTGTTCGACAAAAGATTCTTAGAGAAGATTTCTCGTTTTAACTTTTTTTTACATTTAACCCTTTCTTGACTGTGTCCCATAAAAAGTGTACAACTTTTTTTTTTCTTTCTCTCCCTCTCTCTTTCTCTCTGTGACTTCGTAATCCGTTGCTCGTTATTAAAAAGAGTAATATTAGCAAAAAAAAAAAACTAATGGTATTTCTACATTACGAACTGTGTGTAGAGATTTAAAAGAGCTTCGATTTTCTGTATATTACTACGTTGTGAAAGATTGTTATTTTGAAAGGGTTAGATTACAATTAGATAATATCGTTTCTGTATATATATATATATATATATATATATATATATATATATACAGCTGAGCGTAAGAGAGCTGTAAATCTAATTTTACGTGGAAATGCGATAACTGAACACTGGAGAATTTCTTTTGGAACCTATTGTTTCTCAAGTTCAAACGTTTCTTCTTCTTCTCTGTTTTAATATTTACACACCAAGATATCGAGCGATTTCTTTTTTTCCTTTTTCTTTCTTTTTCTTTCTTTTTTTGGATTACAGAAAGAAATTTCTTTGGACGCAATTTCGTGGCGATTTTCCGTCGATGCGACGTCGCATCCCTCGTTTCGACTTCCTTCGTTATTTTTTTTTTTTTTTTTTTTCTTTAACTCCATAATTGTAAAAGGGACGATAGCACGAAAGGATTGTCTATAAAAATGAACGTTAGATTATCATTATCCGACTTTCATCCTCGAACATCTCTGAAATCCGAGTCAAAGGAATTTGCTTTTGTCATCACTTTGCAACATGTTGCACATGGTAGTGACTCGTTAATTGGTCAAAAATTTACTATCTCTCGTTTACTATCTCTTCGATTGATCCAATGATATATTCGTTTATTTTCACACGACGTACCGTATGTAATAGCAGAGATTTCACATCGGTGAAATCGGTACGAAGAACTGGTGTGGATAACGACAGCCATTTGAACGAGGCTTCAACTCTCTGGCCAGTTAACGAGGCATCACTGTATCTTTATATTATTAATAGTCGATACGTTATGTCGAGTGAAATTTTACCTGAAACATTGCGCCTGTAAATGTAATACGTATATAATCGTGAAATTTAAATTTTTAGCGCTAGATGAACAATTTGAAACGTCAACGTTGACCGGAATATCTCGTATGTTATCGTATCGTTGAAAGAAGAGTGATCAACAAGGGGGAGACAAAATGGAAAAGTATAAAAATCAATAAATTGATCGTTTTCTGGTGTTATCAATTAAAATGGATATAAAAACCTTTCCTGATCCACTCTCGATCGAACGATACGAAGAAAAAAATGATATGCCGAAAAGTGTGATACCTTTTTTTTTTTTTTTTTTTTTTTTTTTTTTGATCGGAGGATTGACCTTGATCGTGTCATAACATTTTGCAAAAAACACTGTATAAAAACCATTGACAATCGCTCGTAAAAAAGACAACGACAATGACGGGCGAAATAGAAATAGAAATAGAAGTCTTCGACAGCTTTCTCTAGTTTGTTTTTTTTTCTTCTTTTTTTTTAAATCGTAAAATGGCAGTTATTCGTCGATCAGTTTCGCTACTTCTCGTCGCGTAGTCAGCAGCATATTTTTCTCCTCTCCGACACTAAGCTAATCGAATAAATACTGGAAGAAAGAAGTATTTTCTAGGCTAATGCCGTCTCGCCGCGGCGAGACTTTATTCACCGCCCTTTGATAGGCCTTGCCGATGAAGCGTTAATAACTACAGAGACACTTTCTCGCTGCAACCTGATACTGGTAATCGTGTCTCATGGTAATTAATTCACGTCAATTAAACAGATATAATAAGTTTGACAAAACTGAAAATTAATGGAAACCATCCAAATAGAAATATAAAGAAAAGTAAATACAGGATTACAGAAACTAAAAATATGATTAAAATTAAATTAAACATATGTTGAATAAATATAATAAAAAATAAAAAAAATATTTCTATGTGTGTGTGTGTGTGTGTGTGAGGTAACGAGGTAACGTATAAGGTTGAGGAGAGCATCGGCATCTAATAAGTTACCTAACTTTTTAACTAGCTTGCGATTGTATCACTGGAGCACCTCTGTGTAATACAGAAGCAGGTCGTGACTTACGACCACCGGCGGTAGCCGCAAGATTTGTCGGTGGTTGTTGAATCGATTGCTGTGCTATCTGTTGAGCAATTGCCGATTCTCTTTTCGGTACCTCCGGCGGTGATTGAAGAACGTCCATATATTCGCGAATTAAATTCGCAATTTGATGCGCCTGCAAATGAAACATTTATACCGACACATGTGATTTAAAATTGCGCAGGCATGAATCTGACTTTGTCGCATTGAGTGAAAGGAGACAAGGAAATTACCTGAGACGTCGTAAGGATAACTTTACTCTGCTTCTTATCAGTACCAGTGATAATCATCAAGCAACTAACAGCTGGACTATAACTGAGAATACTGCTATATTCGTAGGTACAGAGAGTGTTTCTGGAACGATGCTCCAAAAGATGAAGACCTTGTTGATCGACGGCCAGCCACAAAACGCGTGGCCAGTTTGATGTGAATGATTGCATGACGTCGAATATCGTGGCCCTGTGAAGTGGCCACGACTGAATTAAGTTGAGGAACGCCTTCTTCGCCTCCGGCGGTGTCATCCCTCGTAATGACTGATGGTGTTGAAGCACACCCTCTATGCATAAGCTTGGGACCAGTCTTGTTGGCAGGCAGTGACTCGATATAGTCCGGTAATCGTGATCCGACATAGCGTCCTCACAATCGCCGAGTTCTAATTGCGCTTGCAACGCTGTTAACATCATCTGAAAGCGGATTGTTCACATTCAATCGTCGCACATCATAATTTACTTGACTATGGCTATGAC